GTCTTGTCAAAATACTAAATTCGTTTGACATTTTTCTGTTAACACAGTAGGAAAAGTGTTGCAGAGAAAAATAAATAAATATGACATCTTTCATTTAAAATTATAGACTAAGCAAAATATAAACAAAACCGAGCTGAACGTCCTTCAAGGAAAGCGCCTCCACACTTTGCTGCATCCTTATTCTGCACCGTCACTCATCGACAACCTGCCTGTTCTGTCTGAGGGCCGTATATTCACCACCAGTACAGCCTTCTTTGAGCATCGTTATGCACATGCTGCACACAGACCACGCAAATAAAACGCGTGACGGTAAAAGCATGCATGCAGCGCGTGCATAACAGTCCTGAGCGCAAGCTGTACCGGTGGTCAATAAGAATAAAGCGCAGATATGCTGTTCTGAATGGACATCGAGAACGGGATATTGTTAGACCGCCCGCTCCCGTTCAAATTACACCAGAGTTACCGACGGCTACAACGTTTTATTTGGGAATTTAATCCCGCAGCGCAAAAAATCCGGTCGGGTCCCGCGGCAGACCTCTACCTTGTAGCACGGGGAATACAACCAGCTGAACCGATCTGTCGGTGAATGAGTAATCCGAGAGCAGCTCGGCAGATATACAGATATTTGCCACACCACAAACTGTCAAACACATCTTACCAGCAAGCATACACTCGTTTTCATCCTTCTCTCCACTCTCTGAGGCAGAAGTCTCTAAACTCATCCTTTCCAATCATCCTACTACTTGTCCACTTGATCCTATTCCATCTCATCTCCTTCAAGCCATTTCTCCTGCCGTTGTGCCTGCACTCACTCACATCGTTAACACATCCCTTCACACTGGTGTTTTTCCCTCAACATTTAAACAGGCTCATATAACCCCACTTCTTAAGAAACCCACTCTTAACCAATCTCTTTTAGAGAACTACAGACCGGTTTCCCTTCTACCTTTCATTGCAAAAACACTTGAACAAGCTGTGTTCAACCAAGACTCAGCCTTTCTCACACAGAACAACCTCCTGGACAGCAACCAATCTGGCTTCAGAAGTGGACATTCGACCAAGACTGCCATGCTTTCAGTTGTTGAAGCCCTAAGACTGGCAAGAGTGGCTTCCAAATCTTCTATACTTATTTTGCTGGATCTGTCTGCTGATTTTGATACGGTGAACCACTAGATTCTTCTGTCAACCCTATTGGAAAATGGCATCTCAGGAACCGCACGCCAGTGGTTTGAGTCTTACCTCTCAGATAGGTCCTTCAAGGTATCTTGGAGAGGTGAGGTGTCCAAGACGCAACATCTAGCTACTGGGGTGCCTCAGGGCTCAGTACTTGGACCACTTCTCTTCTCTGTCTACATGGCATCACTAGGTTCTGTCATTCAGAAACATGGCTTTTCATAGCACTGCTATGCTGATGACACTCAACTCTACCTCTCATTCCATCCTGATGATCCGACGATAGCTGCTCGCATCTCAGCATGTCTAACATACATTTCTTGTTGGATGACGGACCATTACCTTCAACTCAACCTGGCTAAGACAGAACTGCTTGTGTAGAGCCTAACAATCCTTTAACGGATTTGAATATTAGAAGCGTATTAGTGTGTTATACGCATCTAATATTCAAATCCGTTAAAGGATTTATACAACATTAGGAAGATCAGGCCCTTTCTTTCAGAACATGCTTCACAACTCCTTGTTCAAGCTCTTGTTCTGTCCAGGCTGGACTATTGCAATGCTCTCTTGGCAGGTCTTCCAGCCACTTCTATCAAACCTCTACAATTAAACGCGGCAGCAAGATTAATCTTTAATGAGCCGAAAAGAACGCATGTCACACCTCTGTTCATCA